CGAGGATAATATTTCCTTTACTAGGGTTGTAGAGATTGCTTATTTGGTGCCTCATATGTAGGCAGGGGTTCATTTGGTATAGGCCATCCCATCAGACCGATTCATTCAGCACTTCAGATATCACATGGTGCTTCGGGCAGTTGTATTTCTTATAGGCCTCATTTAGAGTTATCAAGGTGGTTATTTAGGTCGATAGGGTTAGTTCCAGGGTTAGCAGTCACATCAGCCGAGGGTTTGTTATACTTGTGGGGACCCGAGGCACGTCGTGAGGTTTTTCCCCAGGTCACAGATAAGCATGCCACAACAGGATACTCGTACTATGGTTCCGGCACCGGTTGCTCCACCACCTGCCCAGCCAGCCACGGGTAGGGGTCAGGAAGCTAGAGGTGGAGGCCATCCTATTAGAGGTCGTTCGAGAGGTGTAGGTCAGATTAGTGGGGCTCAGCCCCATTGCTATGCATTCCCAGCTAGACCCGAGGCAGAGTCGTCTAATGCGGTCATCATAGGTATTATTCTAGTTTACCATAGAGATGCATCAGTTTTATTTAATCCGGGCTCTACTTACTCGTATGTGTCATTCTATTTTGCTTCATGTTTGAATATGTCTCGTGATTCTTTGAGTGCTCCTATTTATGTGTCTACGGCTGTTGGGGATTCTATTATTGTAGATCAGGTCTATCGTGCTTGTTTGGCCACTATCAAGAGCTATGAGACAAGGGTTGACCTTCTATTACTTGATATGGTGGACATTAATGTGATCTTGGGCATGGATTGGATGTCACTGTATCACGCTGTCTTTGATTATCATGCCAAGATGGTGAAGTTAGCTATATTGGGGTTACCTCGATTAGAGTAGAGAGGGACTCATGTTCATTCCACTAGCACTGTCATTTTATATGTGAAGGCTCGGGGTATAGTCTAGAAAGGGTGTCTGGTATATTTATCCTATATCCGCAATTCTAGTATGGAGATTCCTTCCATAGATTTGGTTTCGGTGGTGAGAGAGTTTCCAGGGGTGTTTCCTACGGACTTGTCGTGTATGCCACCCAACAGAGATATCGACTTTTGCATTAACTTGGTTCCGTGCAATCAGCTTGTTTCTATTCTACCATATCGTATGGCCCCAGTTGAATTGAAAGAATTGAAGGAGCAGTTATAGGATTTGCTTGACAAGGGATTTATTATACATAGTGTCTCTCCTGGGGGTGCACCGGTGTTGTTTGTGAAGAAACAAGACGGCTCTATGAGGATGTGTATTGACTAGAGGTGGCTGAACAAGGTCACTATCAAGAACAAGTATCTGTTACCGAGGATTGGTGACTTATTTGACCAGCTTCAGGGTGCCAAGGTGTTTTTGAAGTTTAATTCGAGGTCCGGCTACCATCAGGTAAAGATTAGGGCATCAAATGTCCCAAAGACAACTTTTCGGACTTGGTATGGTCACTACGAGTTCTTGGTGATGTCATTTGGCATGACTAATGCCCCAGCAACCTTTATGGATTTGATGATCCGAGTGTCCAAGCCTTATCTGGATTCCTTTATGATTGTCTTCATTAACGATATCTTGGTTTATTCCTGCAGTCGAGAGGAGCATGAGCAACATCTACGGATCGTATGGCAGACTCTGAGGGATCATCAGTTATATGCCAAGTATTCAAAGTGTGAATTCTGGTTGGACTCGGTTGCCTTTTTGGGCCATGTTGTATTTTTCGAGGGCATCAAGGTGGATCCAAAGAATATTGAGGTAGTTCAAAACTGGCCTAGACCTACTTTAGCTACAGAGGTTCAGAGCTTATTGGGTTTGGTGGGTTATTATCGCCGGTTCATGAAGGGGTTTTCATCTATCTCAGCCCCTTAACCAAGTTGACTTAGAAGGGTGCTCTTTTCTTATGGTTCGATGAGTGTGAGGTGAGCTTTTTGAAGCTCAAGACTACATTACTACAACCCCAGTGTTGGTGTTGCTTGCCGGTTCAGGATCTTATACTATGAATTATGATGCATTGCGAATTAAGCTTGGCACAGCATTGGTGCAGGATGGTAAGGTACCTACGCTTCTCGATAGTTAAAGGTTCATGAGAAGAATTAACTTGTGCATAATTTACAGTTGGCAGCCATCATTCACGCGTTAAAGATTTGGAGGCACTATTTATACGGCATTCCATATGAGGTCTATACTGACCATCAGAGTTTCCAGCACCTGTTCAAGCATAAGGACCTTAATTTGCGGCACCGGGGATAGCTAGAGTTGCTAAAAGACTATGATATCACCATATTATATCATTTGGGGAAGGCCAACATAGTGGCCGATGAATTCAGTAGGAAGGCTAAGAGCATGGGTAGTTTGGAATATTTAGCGGTAGTGGAGAGGCCACTAGCCATGGATGTTTAGGCTTTGGCCAACCGGTTTATGAGATTGGACATTTCGGAGCCTAGCCAGGTTCTTGCTTGTGTTGTGGCATAGTCATCCTTGCTGGAGCGTACCAAGGCTTGCTAGTTTGATGATCCTCACGTTTTGGTGTTGAGGGACACGGTGCAGCGTGGTGGTGCCAAGGAGGTTGTGATTGGAGATGATGGTGTTATGCGGCTTCAGGGCCAGATTTGTGTTCCAAATAGTTATGGGTTGAGAGTGTAGACCCTCAAGCAGGCTCATAATTCGTGTTATTCCATTTACTCAGGTGTCACCAAGATGTACCGTGACTTGAAACAGCACTATTGGTGGTGGACAATGAAGAAAGATATTGTTGCTTATGCCTCTCGGTGTTTGAATTGCCAACAGGTGAAGTATGAGCATCAGAAATCGGGTGGGTTGATTCGGAGATTGGAGATACCGGAGTGGAAGTGGGAGCGCATCACTTGGATTTTGTGGTAGGCTTACCACAAACCTTGAGAAAATATGATGCAGTCTGGGTTATTGTGGACCGATTGACTAAGTCCGCATACTTCATTTCGGTAATGACTTCCTATTCTTTGGAGCGGTTGGATTAGATTTACACCCGGGAGATTATCCGCCTGCACGGCATACCCATTTCCATCATTTCTGACCAAGCACAAAGTTCACATTGCATTTTTGGAGAGCCGTGCAATGTGAGTTGGACATGCGGGTCGAGCTGTGTACCGCATTTCATTCTCAAACGGACGGACAGTCCGAGCGCACTATTCAGATATTGGAGAATATGTTGCAGTCATGCTGTATGGATTTCAGGGGTCAGTGGGACCAGTTTTTACTTCTAGCAGAGTTCGCCTACAACAACAGCTATCAGTCGAGCATCCAGATGGGTCCGTACGAGGCCTTATATGGGAGGGGATGTCTTTTACAGATTGGTTGGTTTGAGCTCGGTGAGACTAGATTATTAGGCATTGATTTGGTCCATGATGCTTTGGAAAAGGTTAAGGTGATTCAAATCCGACTTCGTATAGCTCAGTCCAGGCAGAAGAGTTATGCGGACTGGAAGGTTCGAGATGTGGCTTACATGGTGGGAGAGAAGGTTCTTCTCCGAGTGTCGCCTATGAAGGGCATGATGTAGTTTGGGAAAAAGATCAAGTTGAGCCCGAGGTTTATTGGCCTGTTTGAGTTCTTGGAGAAAGTTGGGGAAGTTGCTAATAGACTTGCATTGCCTTCTAGCCTAGTAGGGGTACATCTGATATTTGACGTTTCCATGATTCGGAAGTACCATGATGATAGATCATATATTTTGGACTTCAGCACGGCGCAACTTGATGAAAATTTGACCTCTGAGGAAGAGCCAATGGCTATTTTAGATCGGCAGGTTATGTGGGAGTCCGAGTATGATATGAGGAGTAGATACCCCCACCTTTTTATCAGTCCAGGTACACTTTTATGTCTATTCGAGGGTGAACGTTTCTTTTAGAGGTGGAGAATGTGACGACCTGATAGGTCATTTTGAGTGCTAACCTTAATTTATATATTTTGACACCTCTCATAACTTCATTTAATGTTGATTGATTTGTCTGCGTGGTCCGTATCACTTTTCGAAAAGCTTTTATGTGACTTTTTGAAGAAAATATGATTTTTGACTAAAAATGAGGCTAGAGTTGACCACGATCAATATTTTTGGTAAACAACCTCGGATCTATATTTTGACGATTCCAGTAGGTTTGTATGATATTTTGGATGTGTACACATGTTTGATTGGGGTCTCGGGTTGTTACCCGAGCGCGTTTCGATGCATTATGTGAAAGATTGTGAAAATTGAGTTTTAAGTTGAAATCTTTGAGTTTTAATGATTTAAGTTGAAATCTTTCAGTCTCGTCTCTCTCATGAACTGAAAACTGAGAAGTGAAAAAATTGAAATCTCAATGATTAATACGTGTATGTCTATATGAGTAGTCTTGATGGTATTAAAAATTTGGTTAATACGTGTATGACAGTATGAGTAGTCTTGAAGACTCTTTAATTAAAAAAATACCCTTTGGTTAGATCTTATATGGTATTGATTTCAAACTGTTTGGTATTGATTGAATGATTGTTCAAAAAAATTCTATTTTGTTTAGCCGATAACCGCCCAATAATTGTTAATTCGATACCAATCCGCTCGTTGTCTTATTGGATGGCTAGCGAATTACTACATTTATAATCCGATAACCGTTAAGCCAAACCGGTAAGTGTAATCATCCGCCCGATCCACCCTATAAGCACCCTTAGTTGGAACCCTTTTCTCTCATCTTCTCCCGTCTCTCCTTTTCAGCTCGTTCTTTCATCCACTCAATTTCCCACATTGGGCCATCCTTGACCATGTGATCTAGCTTGCCGCACTTGTAGCACCCATCATAGTTAGCTTTGTCGATTTGCTTAGGCTTACTACTAGTCTCTCTCTTGGATGCACTTTTGGAATTCGTTATGAACCTCTTGAACTTGGCAAACATTACTAGATCAAGATCATCATAGTCAGATTTATCATCCTCAGACGCTTTAAGAACCAAGGCATTATCCTTCTTTATTTCTTCCTCACGCAGTTCTATCTTTCTCATTTCATGAGTTTTTATGTTTCCAACCAACTCATCAAGTGAGATTTGTCCAATTTCTTGGCTTCCTCGATTGCAATGACTTTTGATTCCCATGAAGCTGGAAGGATTCTTAGAACTTTGCTAACCAACTCTTCTGAGTTAAACACCTTTCCAAGTGATTTCAGTTCATTGGTTATTATAGTAAACCTAGTCATCATATCTTGGATGGGCTCAGACTCCTTCATGGAGAAGAGCTCATAGTTTTTCATGAGTAGCTATATCCTTGATCTCTTTACTTGGTTTATTCCTTCATGAGCAGTTTGGAGTGCATCCCATATCTGCTTTGCATTGGAGCACAAAGAAATTATATTGTACTCATCAAGACCAAGTTCACAGATAAGGATTTTCTTAGCCTTTGCATTCTTCTCCATCATTCTGAAATCTGTTTCCACAAATTCGGAGGGGTCCTTCTATTTCATTTTGTGCATTTTGTTTAGTAGGAATCAAAGGACCTTGGTTCACTATTCATAGTCTTCAGCTGTCAGGAAGTCTTTTATTCTTGCTTTCTACCAACTGTAATATTTTCCATTGAACAGGGGTGGCCTGGTAGTTGATTGTCCTTCATTAAATCCGGGTGGAGCACTCATCTTTCTTCCAAGATCTCTCTAGGTGTTAGCCGTGTATATGAGAGAACCTGCTCTGATACCAATTCAATTACAAGACTGTAATTAAATACTCTCCAATACTCCTACTACTCCTATTTGATTCACAAGTTACTCTAACTTGTAAAGCAAAACACTCACTCCAACTCACTAATTATTTATGACACTTGATTACAACTCAATTTCCTAAAACACATTCACTAGACTGACTCGGGAAGAATATGATACAAGTACTCGACTCGAGTAAATGACTTATGGCTCTTTAGTTGATGTGTAAAAAGATAGATCAGAAGTCCAAAGTCGAGCATATTTAAACGCTTCAACTTGAGATCTTCTAGGAGTCCTATTCATAGTTAGCTTCCTCTTTGATAGGACTCCTACTGTTCCAAGGATTCCACAAGCTTTAGGACTTTTGTCTTTGACTGAATTATCCGTATCTTCTTGAGCAACGACCATTATCACATATAGCAGCCTTCTTCCACCAACTTCGGACCTGGGTAACTTTGAGATAAAGTTACTGTCTTGTAAAGACATACAAATATCAACATGAGGAGCTGGTCCTTTATCATGAGGACCTGGTTCTTTGAACATTTAGTCATACTTTGTTAGTCATCAAAATTTCAACACTCAACACTGCTTATGACGTGCCCTGGTATTGCAGTTTGACAGTTATTATGTCCAGCTCATAACAAGTGTTCATTCTCTCTTTCCACCTCCGCAACATGTTCAAACTGTGTTCCTTAGTTAGTAAACTCAATGCACTAGTCTCCCGACACTTGTTGGGATAATCATGAGAGAGAGTGTCCTTCCATAAGTCGCTTTAACACTCCCCTTCTCGTAGGATTCTTAAGGGGATCTCATCAAGTCCAAACACATTTTTGGCGTTACTATAACATCACATATATTTCTCATGCGTGTCCTGTCTCTCCTTGGCGTCTAGGCACTTTCTAAGTCACAAACCTATTGTGGGCTCATTACGAATACTCGCAAACCTTCCCTATTTACTCTACAATATTTCCTCGGGTTCCACTATCTTTAACACACCGCTCCTAGGATCATTTGCCATGTCATGAACATTGTCATATGCGGAGAATTTACTATCCTTAACACTCCACATCCTTGGGTGGACATGAGTTTATCATTTGCCTTTATCCCTGGAGCATCATATTAACTGTTAGAACATCTCCAACCCATGCATGATTCCACCCCAATATATCCTAGATACATGGCTTCATTCGTGTGTAGTTGAACTTAAGTAGCCTTACCGCGACCTTACCTTCCCCACTTCCGGTGGATGTTCCAAATTTTGTCATATATTATGAACATGTTAATTTGATGGACAAGTCTATCATATTGCTAATCTTTCCATATAGGACTGTCTATTGGATTGCTAGGGTGATAACCTCAAAGTGCTCAACCTCTTTACTTTCAATCTCACAGGCTTGGAGCCTAGATTCCTTATGTCAAAATTCCGCTAGGTCAAATTGCAGCTTTGTATATTTGTGAGACACCTATCACACTCATGGCACAAGGATCATCCCGTTCCAAGTTCAAATTGGTAGTAACCTTCATACCTCTTAGGATATAACTTCCTGAAATGCCTCTGCTCAGCACATTGGTGGATTCTTGAATAATTCCAGCTCAATCTCGTACCCCGCCATTCCTATTTGCATTAAAAACTTGCTGGGGTTGTAGGTTCAAACATGCCAAAGAAGAAGTATCATTCCATGATCAAGCATATTGGGAAGGAAACCCTATGGTTATATTCATTCAAACACATCGTAGAATAAAGTGGAGGAGGCTGAGGATCGCCAAAAGTCCAATTCGGATGTTGGACATAAAGATTTAGGAGTTTGAAGAAAGTGAACGAGTCCTTCTCAAGATATTTCCACATGAAGACATTATGTGAATTGTTAATAAAAGTAAAGTAGGTGCAGTGCACATTGGGCCTTATAGAATCGTGAAGGAAATAGGCCAAGTAGCCTATGAGTTTTATTTCCTCCATCGTTGTCCTCCATGTATCCTATGTTTCATGTGTCCCAGTTGAAGGTGGTGATTTAGGAATTCGCCACTCATTGTTCCGTTAGAGACTATTGAGTTTAATGAAGAAATGACTTACGAGGAGATCCTGGTTGCAATTCTTGATAGACAAATCTGAAAGTTGAGGAATAAAGAGATTGCCTCCATGAAAATGCTATGACAAAACCAAGAAGTGGGAGGGGACACCTGGGAGGCCAAGGAAGAGATGAAGAAGAAATACAATCACTTATTGTGTAACCATATTTTTGTGTTTGAAAAAAAATGTTAGGAGTTTACTTTCTATGAACTATGTTCAAGCTTGTACAGTTTATGCTAAGATTCTCCTTTAGGTAATATGATGCTTATGAGGTTGTGGTTGGTGTTGTTCTCATGCTATGTTATGTCGTTGGGATATGACTATGTTGTTAGGATTGGTTTCTGAGGCTCTATGGTGCTAAAGAAGGCAGTTTGTAGGCAAGGCACGTTGTAGTATCTCTTGTTGGTGGGAAGGAGGGATTGTTGGATGAAGAAACGCCATTACTAGAGGTAGTAGAATGCTATGCACTCTAGGTATTTGATAAAATGCCTAAATAATCTAAAATCTGGAAATTTTTACTAATATTGGTCCAATTGAATTATGTTGATGTAGATTGAAGTTGTAAGGGTAGTAGGAGGTTTTAATATCACTAAAGAGCTGAATCAGGGTATGTTAGCTAAACTCCCTTTCTAGAATCGGAATCCATGAGTTCCTCGTAAGTTCCAAATGTGGTTTGTTCAAACTCTTGTTCCTATTGTTCTAAAAAATTTTTGATAATTGATTTTCCTAAATTCTTATGTACTCGAGCCATGTTCAAATTTCCCTTATCATTTTAAGCTCCCCTTAGTGGGAAAATGTTTAAATATGGTTGTTTTAACTAATGCATATGATTTGAATCCTTGTTTCAATTGTAAATCACCATGCTATCCTTTGTAAGTATTTCCAATTTGTTCTGAGTTCATACATATTCATGAGCTGAAACTGTGTATAGCCCTTTAGAAAAAGTATTTCAAGAATTAATGGTGTATTACACATTTATGATCTTAACTTGTACTTCGATTGCTAGTCATTTTGCTCCATTCTTTGAAAAGAAATCCATTGTTTGTAAGGCCTTCATTGCTAATGATTAAAGTTATGATTTTTGGAATATTCTATATGTTGATGTTTATTATAACGATCCTTGAAACTAAAAAAATGAAAGTGTGAAATATGAACTACGGTCATCGTCCCATGAATGAAGAACTCTAAGTATGGCCAAGAAAGCCAATGAAATAATGATGTTCTAAGTGGTTAGAATGCTAATGAAGCTATATATGGTATGAAAGGTTATGAGATGAACATTTATATTTATATTTCCTTTATATACAAAAATATTTTTGGGAGTATCATTAGCGATCCAAGGATGGGTGGGTTGTAACGGCCCACACTTGAAACTACACGTGCTGGAGTAGGAGTTGATTGAGATTATTTCCCTTAATTGAGATGAGATTGATGTGTTGAGATTATTCCCCTTAATTGGATTGATATTGTTGCTAGCCTTGGATTGGATGTCGACTCACACGGTATATGTGGGGAGACGACCTAGCAGATCGGGTGGTGATCGGACGCCATGTAGCGCGCATGGTGGTTCCTCCTTCTTGGTATCGCCTTTTATTCGCATCATCATGTCAATCCACATTGATTTATGGAGAGATGGCTCAGCCGATCAAGTTTGTGATCACACTCCATGCCTCGTATATGGTGTGATGATCGGAGGCTAATGATCTCCCAACCAATGTAAATAATTTATTTTAAAAATTGTTATGTTTTAACTTGGCATTTGGATATCATTAGTTTTTCCTTGTTGCTTTCGTGATTATTCCCTTTTTATGTTGGCATTCTATTTCCTGAGAAGGTATTTAGCTTTACATACTAGTACTATTCTATATGTACTAACGCCCCTTTTGCCGGAGGCGCTGCATCTTTAATGGATGCAGGTGGTTCCTCAGTAGGCGATTTTGATCCTCTTTAGCGGTTACCCTCTACTCGGATAATTTTTGTGAGCCCTACTCTATTCCGGGGATTAATGTCGCTTGACATTGTACATTATGTTTTGAGGTATAGCCGGGGCCTTGTCACCGGTACTTGCATACTACTCTTCTATTATACTTAGAGGCTCCGTAGACAGGCTGTGGGTGGTGTTCGATTTAGGGTAATAAACTAGAAATGTTTGTATTTGTTAAACATGTTTTCCCCTCGCAATTATGAACTTGTAATCTTTTGGAAATTTTAAATGAAGGCTCTATAAGTACTGGATAAAGGATGTGGTATACTTTACTCTTCTCATGTCTATTTCTTGTTGCTGATTCTTAAATTGATCATGGGTAAGATTGGGTAGAAGGCATCAAGTAGGCTTGCTTGACTAGGATGTCTCGGTCGAGTGCCGGTTGCGCCCCCAAGGTCGGGGCGTGACACCAGTGGAGTCCCGAGAGGTACTTAGCGGATATCAGACGTTGATTCGAGGTAGAGCTGCATCCCGTTCGCAGTCCTTAGAGTCACTTTGCTATTTCATTGTATCGTTTCCTTTTATTTCGAACAGTGTTGTATTTCTTTCAAACCTTGTATTTAGCTGGATGTAGACGCTCAAGTACTTGTGACTCTAAATCTTGGGATAGTTTATGTTATGTCAGGGATCAGTTATCAGATATTTATTGCTTTCCTTTTTGTATTGTCT